GTATTGTGAAGACGATAATGACATCCAAAAATCTGCAAGAATCAAAAGTAGAGGCTGTAATGACCGAATGATAGCACATATATTCTATTATCTAGAATGAATTTATCATAAAATGAAAAATATGAAATTTTGTTTTGCAGGTGTGCTGTTACTACACGATTTTTGCTTTTAATCCCATATTGCTGATGTCTTAATAGCTCTGTGTTCGAATAAAACTTCTTTATATTTATCAAGATTAAATGTTTTTATAACAGATGTTTTAATACCTTTAGCGTTTTTTCTATTGTTTCATGAAAAATATAAGAATGGTTTTAAAGAACAGAACTCGATTATTGGTTTTCACAGTGTCTCGTCTTTAAAATATCCTAATCTATTTTTGTTCGTTTCATTATATAATTTGTGAGTTTTAGGATAGTTACTAAAATCAAAAATATCCGGAAACGATTTAAAATCCTCATAAATACAATTTGTATACATTTGAAGTGTTAATGAATCTGTGTTAGTATATAATAAATGTACGTTTTCACCATATTTGTTTTTAAATATTTATAAAATGTTTCATATATATGTAATTTGCTTAATGAACACTAACGTGTAAAATATTACTTGTATAAATTTGCGTATAAACCAACTAATGGCACAGTCTAGTCGCACAGCCACGTCAACGAAACAGGTTGACACATAGACAGACAGAGATTTCTATAGCTCGACTCAAATCGATAAATATTTTGACATCACATCTATTACAGACATCAAATAAAAAATATATCATATTTACTCTTATGTTTCAGGTTCTAATAGGTCATAATTTGAACTGTCTAATCCTACAAGTTTTTTTTTTGTCTGTCACTAACTCGATTACATCATTTCAATGATTCTATTAAAGTACAGTATAATACTGTACTTTAATATCTACAGATGCTGAAAAAGCAACTTCACATAGATATGAAGTGAGAAGCAAGATGTATTTCAGGACTTTTTCTGTTAAAACCGGACACACATGTTTCATTTGTAACAGAAGGAATGTAGTTTAACATTATTTATAACATAACGAGTGTACTTTAGCATCATTCGTTAAAGTATACACCTTATGTTTATTTTTCAAGAATCCGTCTGAAGCTAATTCCAACAATTGTTCCTCTTCCGCATGCGACAAACTTTCTGGCATGGATGTTGTATTAATGTTAAACGTTATGTCTTATCTATTCAATATTTTTGTTTAAATCAGGAAAATAGTTTTTAGGCCCACTTATAAATTCTTTATATGCTGTGTTAAGCATTTCAGAGTATCAGCATCAATTCTAGCAGCGAAACTTATTATAAACTTGTGAATAGAGGAAAACGAGTCCACTTCTCCATTATCAACTCTCCTTCGCCGTAAATTTAGTTTTGCGATGGTAGCATTCACTCTATCTTGAACGTGAAACAATGAAATTTTTTTACCTGGGACAATGTTAGAGATAAAAAAATTATATTTTGTAAAAATAATCAAAATCAATGGTATTTTTAGCTTTTTTATTAATACTAAAGCACATAACGAACCTTTCCTATTAGAAAAATCTAACAAAAGCTAAAAATACACACGAGCTCGCTATAACAGTTTAATGTGTAGATACTGGAAGTTTTCGTGTGACACTGTTGTCGATGCCATAGGCAGTGTTGCCTCAATGAAATTTCAAAACGTACTGAAGCGCCTTCAAAAAATGTACTATTTTCCTTCAAAATGTACTAGTTCTATGAATACTTTGTTTACGTGCCTATATATATATATATATATAGGCACGCAATTTATATATATATATATATATAGTTTATTGTCAAATAATTTAATTTTAAATCTTATTTTTGGAATTTTTTGAAAGCTATTTAAAATTAAAAATATATCTACACATCTATTACTTATTATAAAATGAGC